TGGCCTCCAACCTAAGAGCCATGGCCTCCAACCTAAGAGCCATGGCCTCCAACCTAAGAGCCATGGCCTCCAACCTAAAAGCCATGGCCTCCAACCTAAGAGCCATGGCCTCCAACCTAAGAGCCATGGCCTCCAACCTAAGAGCCATGGCCTCCAACCTAGGAGCCATGGCCTCCAACCTAAGAGCCATGGCCTCCAACCTAAGAGCCATGGCCTCCAACCTAAGAGCCATGGCCTCAAACCTAAGAGCCATGGCCTCCAACCTAAGAGCCATGGCCTCCAACCTTAAGTTTTCCAAATCATCAGTGCCACCGCGAGCTATCCTGCACTGCTATGGCCTAACCCCCCCAGGCGCGACAAAGCTCCTGCTAGCCATAGCTACTACCTGTATAGCTATACCTCTTTGGCCTACCCCCCCCAAAAAAATGAACGTCTTTGATATGAAGTACAATGACGTGCCAGCTTCAGCTTCTCAAAGACAAGCTGCTTTAAACCTTGTCGCATCGCTCTTGTCCAGGCATATTCCGCATCGCTCGTCTTTTTCGACTGGTGCGTGTTCTCAAAGGTGGGCCAGACAAACAGAACAGAAAGGAAAGGCAAAAGAGAAACGAGACAAAGCAACAGAAAAACGGGTAAGTCGTTAGGAAATAATGCATTTTCTTTGTTTGTAGTTCGAATTAACTTTCTTTCAAAGCAAAGAGACAACAGAGAAAACGATCTGCAGGACCGAATTAGGATTGTTAGGACGACAAAGAAAACTCAATCTGCCAAGGTCTTAACAAACTGCTCCTTGCCTTTGCACCTTCGAAAGCAAAAGGAGCAAACGGTGGTGAAGGGGAAGGGCAGGGGAAGAGTATTTGAACGTCATGTAGCCTTCAAAAGCATTTAAACTAATGCTTTTGACATGCGCAATTGCGTGCCTCAGCTGTTGAGGCCTTGTCTGTTCCGAAGCTCTTCAACGTGGGCCTGGTTTACAGCTGAAATTCACCACTGAAGAACATGTTGAATGAACATCAGCCACTTAAGAAGTGAGCGGAAACGAGTGGAATGTGTTTGGGATGCAGAAGATCCTGGAGCATTCTCTTAGGTCATGGTGTTGTTGCTTTACCTCTATGCGGTGCTCGGGGTGAGTCTTTTTGCAAAGGCAGGTTAGAAAAGAAAGAAAGAAACTACTTGGAACACCCCACTAGTAGGTTGGAGGCTATCGCTCTTAGGTTGGAGACAGGCAAGTAGTTTCTTCCTATTAGGAACGAAAAGAAAGGAAGAAACAACTTGTCTCCCTATGGCCTGCGCGCCCATCGAGTTCAGATTCAGACGCATGCACATTTGATAGGTGGCTTATACAGGCGTCGGAATTTATGGTGGCTCGGCTTTTTAGAAAGACACTATGTATTTTTCCACAATTCGTGTTGGTCCATGGAATAAATGTGCGAACACTTGCTATTCCATGCCACTGAAATGTGGATTCGTCAGGTGATCAAGTGTAGCAACGCAATTGTATGAAATTGTTCTGTTTAGCAATTGTAACATGTACAAGAGAGGCGTTGCAAGGCCTTGTTCGTCGACAAAGTTGGTGAATTATCAAGTCTGAAATCTTCAGCCCTGTCTTTGTGAAGCGTTGGCAGTGGAGTCAGCTTGGTCCCAGCTTTGGGAAACTACTTCCATGTCTCCAACCTAAGAGCGATAGCCTCCAACCTTACTAATAGAGATGGCCTCCCAGGGTGCTCCAAGCAGTTTCTTCCTTTCCTCTTCTTTGGTCCAGAACAAGGCCCTCAAGCGAACTTCCGGACCTTCTTTCAGGCCGGATTTCGTCGCCCAATTCGGCAGTATGTTTTTCTTTGATTTGGGATGTTTCGTCAGTATGGATTAATCTCGCAGAGACCGAAAAATCTGCATAGGCCATTTCTCTCCTGATCCGTTCCATGACTGGCGAAGGCCAAGTGTCAACTTGCCGATGAATTCATTCAGAGTCGGGATGAGAGTGCTTTGTTCTTGTCATGTTGGAGGCCATCGCTAGTAGGTTGGAGGCCATCGCCACTAGGCTTTCGTTCTTTTCTTCCCAGGCATTCTTTCAGTCGAAATCACGAGTCTTGAAACCTGCGAAGTTGTGCACAGTTGGTTTCTCGCCAAAAGTTGTTCCGGCAAGCTACTTGTTTTTGTCTAGTGCATCTTCTTTAAACTTTGTGCATATTTGGTAAGACCTTGAAGAAGCAGGACATGACACAGACACACTCTGACATTGGTTTTTCAGTTAACTCGATTTGCAAGTGGAAGAAAGGCGAGAGAACGGCAAGGTGAAAGGTCCAAGCACTTGTAGATGTTTTAACAAAAGAGTTTCTCACGTGACTGCGGAAGCGAATGACGACGTGGCTTCAAACCAGAGCGGAGGGAAACCTGTTTTGGGGAAGGTAGCGTGAAAACCACGATGGAAACAACGAACAGCGGCCGAGGGAAACCAGTGGAGTCAGTGTGTTAGTCGCAGGTACGCCAGACTGATCAGGTCTGGCTTCACTGCCAATTGCCAGCGTCTTCGTTGGCAGGAGACTTGCAATGGCACTCCTGCCCCCTGCATAAAAAGAAATGAGGCGGTCGAAACTCTTAGGTACGGAGGTTGACGCACACACGAAGCCGATTCCGGCGCACGTGGAACTGGTGGCAGTTGTTTTCTGTGACTTCAAAAATCGCTCGCAGTGTCTTGCTGCAGGTGCTGCTTGTGGAGGGAAGGTGTAGGCGTAGATGGCGTGGAGTCGGGAGGCTAGGCCCGACAAGGTGAGTCGTTGGCTGCCTGCGCTTGTGGAGTCCCGCATTTTCCAGGCTAGCAACGGCGCTTGGCAATTTTGAGCAAGGGGACATCGGTACAGTAGTCGGTGAGGGTTTGAATGGCAGGGTGTGAGAGGAAATGTTCGTTGTGCACGATGAAGCGGTTGTCAACGTAACGGTAGTAGGTAAAGTGTAGATCGGTGTGGTGGAGAAGGTTGTTGTGTAGCTGGTCACGAGTGTTCGATCAGGGTGATGGCCACGTTGCATAGGGCTGGAGACAGCTGGGAGCCAATCCCATTTGTTGTCCTGGCTGGAGTGGTGCCGGGTGGAAAAAGTGGATGGATGGGTGGTTCCTGAGGTTGCGGGTCTGGGTCAATGGTTGGATCATGCAGGTAGGCCCTGGCCGGAAACCGGCCGATGCTGTCGACGATGTTGAGGGCTCGTCGCACTTGTGTCTCCGCGACATTCATGTGTGCGCTGTACCGGCTCAAAAGTTGGCTGATGGGAATGGGAAGGTCTTGTTGAAACGGGTCGTGCCAAAAAACGGCGTTTCTTGAAGGGTGGGGAAAGTGTGTAGAGTTTGGTGGAGTGCAAAACGATGGAGATTGAGGTCGGTAAGTGTTGCCAGTAGAGCGGCTCCCGGTTGCTCCGAATATGCCCAGCTCTAAAAGGCAGTGTCAATGCCTTCTGCGGGTGGGGTAGGTGCGCTCACTGCACAAACGGCAGTGGGAAGCGGAATGTGCAAGTGGAGTTAGACACGAAGGGCGGCAAAATGGCTGCAGAAAGAACAAGAAAAATAAGAAAATAGCACTGAAAACAAACGCTGAAAGTCAGAGATGGTCAAGGTAGTGAACAGTTTTGAAGCTCTCGTAAAAAACGACTGTCGGTCGTGGAGCTGTGTTTTTCCATGGTAGCTGCTGTCGGGCTTCCGAGGGGTGAAACCTAAATGGTGAAAAGAGGGAGCTAACTTGCTGTCCGATGGGCTGCCGTTGCCTCTGCTACACTCTGAGCTATGCGTAAGATAGCTTCCGTAAGTGTATTGGTTTGGGCATCGCTGATTGGCGCGGCTGGGAAGAGGTGGAAACAAAGGTTGTGGCGCAGGTGGGCGAGGTGGAGGTGTTGGTAAGGGCGGAAACGGGCGATGGAAGTGAGGTCTGCCAGAATGTCGGTGGCTAGCTGCAGGAGATGGTGAAGTTGTGTAAGAGCCACTGTAGTGCGTTGAAAAAGACTTGGAAGTCCTGTGTCATGGTTCATTGCTTCTGGTCTGGCGTCTGCGGCAGCGGCAGTGACGGCGCGACGCTCATGAAGATGAAAAAACAGAATTGCACGCAGTGCGAAATACGGAGCATTGAATTACAAGGATAAAATTCGCGCAGGTCAAATCGAAGAATCAAAAAAAGAAACCTCCAATCAAGGTAGTTCCTCGCAACAATCCCAAGCCATCGGGGAAGAATCCTAGCAAATCCAGGCAGATCTAGTTACCTCGTGAACGGATAAACTGTCCTTGGATCAAAGTAGTGGCGAGCATGCAGAGAGACTGAATTACGCACAGTTGCATGTAGTTATAGGTCAGGAGTTGTGGCGTTGGCTGACCATGCAAGGCCTTTCACAATCGCATTGTGAGGGTGGATGACTGTTGGAGCAAGGTGGCGGCGTGCTCTTCGCCGCCGTGGGTAAATTTGGTGCCCGCCCCCCACGAAACAATCACGGAATGAGCGTTCTTTGCCAAATTCCATGTGTTGTAGAGCATGCGCGCCTTGCGCAAAAAAAGCCGGGGTTGTGGGAAAAGTGGGAGGGTGCTGGGGAGAAATCTGCCTCGTTGTAGAACGCTTGTCACATTGCCCACAGGACCAGTATGGCCTGCGTTGATGTGGACAATTTCTGGAGAGGTGGAAGTAGCACGAGTGGCCGCAAGTGGAAAGCGTTGGTGTGCCTTGTGAGAGAGTGTGGGGATGGAGATGTGGTTGAAGTGAAAAAGGCCATATTGTTCTGAGGTGGGGTTCCATTTGATGTGTGTGAATTGACGGTAATCACACACTAGCAGGCGAGCAATGTAGGTGTGGTGAGGTTTGTTTGGAGTGTCGAATTGTGCTGCGTGATTTGGTTGAAATGTAGTGGAGCTGTCCATTTGTTGAGGACGTGTCGGACACTGGGATGGTTGGGGTAGGTGCTCTGTGGGTTGGCTGAAGAAGAGTCGTGGTGCAAGAGGTCAGTGTTGGGGATCAGGGAAGTGGCTGGACGCGGCTGCGGGACAGAGAGAGCGGCTGCGTGAGTATGAAGAGTAGGTGTGAGAGGATGAGGGATGGCGGCGTGAAGATGTATGGGTGTGAGAGCTGCGTGGTGTTCTGTGGCTGGAGTAACGGTCAGAGTGGCCTCTGCGATGGTGATGCCGGCGTCGCCTGCGGCCATGTTGTCGATCGCGCTGATCCTGCTGGAGTGGATGGGGGTGGCTTGGCTGTGTCTGTAGTGGCTTCAGTGGAAGGTAGTGATGGAAGGGCTGGATGCTCGGTAGAATCAGGTGGAACTGGTGCGGGAGCTGTGGATGGTGCTGGTGTGGATGTGGCGGCAGCAGTGGGTGCAGTGACGGCAGCCTGATCTGGCTGTACAACTGGTGGGAAAGCCGAGAAATTTTGTTGCTGCCAAACACCTTGCTGTGGATCCCATGAGAATGTGGTGGTAAACTGCGTGGGTTGTTTGAGTGGTGGGGAGAGTGCAATGGGTGCAGGATGTGGTGCTGCTGTGGGTGGTGGGGAGGAAGTGGGCATAGTCACAGGTTCCGGTGTGGAGAAATTGTAGGTGACAGGAAAAGTAGGTGTTGGATGTGGAGATGGAAGAAGAGGTGGTGGGAGTGTTGGCTGAAATTGAGGTGGGATGGGATGTGGCCATGTTGGCTGTGGTGGCATGGTGGCTGGAGGGTAGTGCGTGATCGCTGGTGGTAGATGTTGTGGAATGGGATAAACTGGTGGCGGTGGAGTCGGTTGAGGAGGTGGTGTGTAAGGATACGGCCAGGGAAATTGCATCGTCTCTGGCAGCTATGGCGCCAGCGCGGCGGAGCGGCAGCTGAGACAAGAAAAAGTCAACGTGGAGGGAACTGGAAATCGGTGTGAGAAAGAAAAATCTGCATGAGTGGAATCAAACAAAGATTGGGCGGTAGTGTCTCTGGCCCCAAAATGGTCATGGCTGAAAACGTGGTGCTGTACACACTTGAAATCGAAAGCAAGCTGCGAAAATGCATGAAAACAGAAATGTCAAGAAGAAACAGGTGGGTATTATTCCGTGAAGCCCGGCGGCGTAAGTAGCAGTGAATACAGTGGTGAAACCAAATCAGTTAAGAGAAGTCAAAGCACGGTGGAAACGGTGGAGTCTGTTACACGAATTCCGGAGTGGAAACGGCGCCTCCTTGCGGAGGATCACACCCAGCGCCCAAGTGGGACGACTGAGCGAGTCACACTCTGACATTGGTTTTCAGTTAACTCGATTTGCAAGTGGAAGAAAGGCGAGAGAACGGCAAGGTGAAAGGTCCAAGCACTTGTAGATGTTTTAACAAAAGAGTTTCTCACGTGACTGCGGAAGCGAATGACGACGTGGCTGCGAGCGGAGGGAAACCTGTTTTGGGGAAGGTAGCGTGAAAACCACGATGGAAACAACGAACAGCGGCCGAGGGAAACCAGTGGAGTCAGTGTGTTAGTCGCAGGTACGCCAGACTGATCAGGTCTGGCTTCACTGCCAATTGCCAGCGTCTTCGTTGGCAGGAGACTTGCACAATGGCGCTCCTGCCCCCTGCATAAAAAGAAATGAGGTGGTCGAAACTCTTAGGCACAGAGGTTGACGCACACACAAACACATCCATGTGCATTAAACTTATTTTGAAAATGTATTTCTCTTTTACCTTTTTCTTTCACCTTTACTTTCCCTTGGGTGAGCTCAGCAGCCTTGGCCCCAGTCGGTCTGTCTTCCAACGTTCTGCTATAGCAATGGCCTCCAACCTAGTAGCGATGGCCTCCAACCTAACAGCCAAACAGTGTAATGAGTTTCAATTACTTCGATATGCTGTTCCATAAACACCGTGAGCCAGAGAACCCAACAGCAAAGCGACAAAAAACACACGGGTTCTTTTTTCAACATGTTCATCGCAGTGTCCGGCTTCACGTTGAAACCATCAACTCCCTCCAACCAAATAGCAAACTACATCAGACCTTTCTGCCTTTTCTTTTTTCTTTGTTTCGAGTAGCGATGGCCTCCAACCTAAGAGCGATAGCCTCCAACCCTTCTCCTCCCTGCCCCTAAATGACTATGCTGTGGCTATCAAATCTCTTCCCTGTCATTCACAACGCTCAGTAGCATGCATTCTCTCACTGTCTCTCACTATCTTGCCCCAACCCACACCCAATTTTTTAGGACAAACGGATCCAACATTGTCCTGAAAAAACACACCCGTCCCAAGTTCGGCGCGTCCTTTTTTGCGTAGCTTCCCCGCAGCTCGAGCGCGCAGGGTCCCAGCATACCTACTCCACGGGAAGAGTATCCAAAACGAGAACCCAAGCATCTTGTGAAAACAAAGACATATTCGACTTCAGCTTGTCAATCAAGGGCGCTGAGTGTCACCGTCCAGCTCCAGGCTTGCCACAAAAGGTGAGTAAGTGAGTCATCCGATGGAGTCGTCAGTCACCTTCACCTGTTCTCCAACTGTCGCCTGGGTCAGATTACTCCCACATTTAAGGAGGACAATTCCCTTCGTCACAATTCCCGCTTCTGATACCTCACCGATGTTTCCTTTTCGTTCCCACCACATGCAACCACCAAAGGTGTGCTCTACAAGCTACCACTGAGTGGACCACTTCGATCTATCACTTCTGCTTTGTCACCATCTTGGGTCCACGTGCACCTTTTTCTGCGCGGTTGCTAGTAGGTCGGAGGCCACCGCTAGTAGGTTGGAGGCCATCGCTATTAGGTTCCTTTTGCTATTAGCTTGGAGGCCATACTTGGACCACTTCTGTCAACATCTTAGGTCCACCAGGGGCTACCTGGTCATTACCTCTCACAAACGGCCTCTTGATTGGTGTGTCGTGTGTTCCCAACGACAAAATGAACTTCTTCTGCCACAAACTTGAAGTGCTTTTTCTGATTCTGTACTCGCTTAAGTCTAGCGCAAATGCAATACATGCAAGTCTAGGTGTTCACCAAAACACTTGAAGAATCACCGCAACGCAGGTACACGGTTAGTTTCGGAATGTCTGAGAAGTCCTCTTGACAGACACAAGGAGCCAGTCCCCTTGTTGAATGAAAAGGATTTAGTCTCTTTTCTTTCTGTCTTTCTCTTTAGACCTTGAGATTTCACTTTTCTACCTACTTGCGAGGCCTCCAACCGAATCACATCTTTGTGTTGGGTTACTTTTTACCATGCATCCCGTTTGCATCCGCTGCCTCCTCCTATATACTCCTCACGCCAATTCATCTCACACCAACTCAACTCATTCCAACTCCACTCCATTGTTTCTAATGAAAGGAAGTTTGGGGCGCAAAACTTCCGTGTTACGGACTTTCAAAAGCTATTACTACAACTAACTAACTAACTAACTAACCAACTAACTCACTGACTGACTGACTGACTGACTGACTGACTGACTACTTACTTACTACTTACTACTTACTACTTACTACTTACTACGACGACGACGACTACTACTACCTTACTACCACTACTACTACCACTACTACCACCACCACCGCCACCACCACCACTACTACTACCTACTACTACTACTACTACCACCACTACTACTACCACCACTACTACTACTACCACTACTACTACGACGACGACGACTACTACTACTACGACTACTACTACCACTACTACTACTACTGCTGCTGCTGCTGCTACTGCTACTACTACTACTACCACTACTACTACAACATACAACATACAACATACTACTACTACTACTACCACCACCACCACTAGTAGTACTAGTAGTACTACTACTACTACCACCACTACTAGTACGATTATTACTACTACTACTACTACTACTACTACTTCTACTACTCAGCTTTAGCTCCAGTCAGCTCTAGCTTTGGTTAGCTCGTGGCAGGCACAGTACTGGGTGAACGTCGAAGTGCAGATTTCGTGGCAGGCACAGCACTTTGTGCACCTCCATGTGTAGATTTCTTCGCAGGCACAGCACTTGGTGAACCTCCATGTGCAGATTTCGTGGCAGGCACAGCACTTGTTGAACCTCCATGTGCAGATTTCGTGGCAGGTACAGCACTTGGTGTTACATGTTTTGATAAGTCTTGCAGAATTGTTTCGTTTTGCAGGTCTTCAACATGCATGTTGGAATCGAGAGAAAATGCATGCTTCCGTGTTACGGACTTTCCTCAGCTCTAGGTCTAGTTAGCTCTAGTTCCAGGCAGCCTTGCGTGTTGTGTTACTGGACACGTAAAGTTTTTTGGGACACTCCTATAGGTCAAATGGTTTTTATAGGAAACTTCCGCCGTCAGCTTGCCCGGGAACTGCTTGTAGTTTCTCGTTACTAGTCGTATGGCCAGGAGCCCCTAGTAGCTCGTCCTTGCATCCACTCCACTCACAATTCGGCTATATTCGGCTGTGGTCGGCTGGTCTCTTGCCGGTCGCTACGGCTCCTGCGCTGTTTTCTTCTGGTCTGTATCGGGGACTGCTGCTGCAGACCAGAAACAGGAATCATTCACAACTCGACGAATCAAATACTTCTATGGGGTGTTGATGCAAAAACGCTTTAACTATTAGGTATCGGTATGAGGTTGATGTAAAAAGTTTTCCCGGCAAGAGGAACTTTTTGGTCTGACTGGTCCTGCTCAGAGCACCGATGCCTGATCTCTTGTTTCGCTCGTTTTTTCCTCTCTTTTTTTGGCTTCTAAATGTTCAAACAAAACACCACTTCAAAATTGGAGCCCGGGCGTATTTGTGAGCGGGGGCTCAGTGCCACTGTTTGTTTGAATAAGCGATTCATACCTAATTACTAGGTAAAGGAACCTAATTGCAATGGCCTCCAACCTAATAGCAAACTATATTTGACCTGTCGTCCTTTTCTCTTTTCTTTGTTTCTATTAGCGATGGCCTCCAACCTACAAGCAATGGCCACCAACCTAATAGCGATGGCCTCCAACCAAATAGCAAACTATAATTGACCTGTCGTCCTTTTCCTTTTCTATTTTTTCTATTAGCGATGGCCTCCAACCTAGAAGCAATGGTCTCCAAACCAGAAAACCTGAAGGGAATTCGCTGAATTTGCATCTGACAGGGTTTCATTCACACTGGTGGTCAAAGTTGCGATTAGGATGGAACTATATCATGCACGACTTGAGCAAGTCCCAATGGTACTATGAAAGTTTGGACCCGAACGATACAGTTTCACGTACTATGCAATTGAACGGCGGCCTAGGCGTTCTGGACAAGACCTGCAGAGCCTGATGCCTAGATTCAGATGTGATGAAAGGAAGGCCAGATGTTGGATAACGCGTTTACGCAATTTTTGCCCTCTGATTTGGTGCATTCTGTTAAGCCATGGAATTATTTGGACGAAATCGATAGCCCTTTCAGTTCTTTTGCTTCTTGTGCGCAAACTATTGATTGCGTTTGATATGGCATGCAACTCTTAAAGTCATAATTGAAGGGGACAACCTACTAGCGATGGCCTCCAACCTCCACTCTGTGGCGTGTCCGCAGCTTCGTTGCCGCAACGCTTTGCAAACACGTTGCTCCTGTTCCGTGTTTGCAGAGTGATGCGTTGCCAGCCCTACGTATAGAGATGCGGGTTTTGGGTGCAATTAACCCGTCTTTTCGGTTCAGAATCCGCCACTAACCACTTCAAACATCTTCAAACTGCTTAGTGTCGGCAGTCGTTTTCCTCCAGTATTGGCCCTTGGTGTTCTTATTGAGCAAAGAACACGTTATACTACAAGACAAACAACAATTAATTGTTAAACAATTAAGCATAAATATAGTTTTTCATTTGAGTTTTCTTCCCAAGGAAATGGATTTGGACAGTATGGATTTCGCTTCACTGGATCTGAACCAGGATGGTTACGCCAAGAGCTGAGAGCCAACGCATCATAAAACACTACCTTGCAGTGCTTCAGAAGACCTTTTCAGCCAGAAATAAACCTGAGATGTTGAAAGAACAAAGGAACGGTCTAAAAGGTCTAAAGACGGAAGAAGAAACGTGTGGAATACTAGCGGGCCAAAAAGATGTTTTCAATCAAATTTCGCCTTGCGGAACCACGAGAAAGAGAGCCCGGTCGCTCTAGTCGTGGTATCAGCAGGCCCCTGCCTAATGAATGCACGAGACTGCAGGTCGACGAGCCCACGGAATGTGGCTCTCAATTGGCGTTTATATACTTCATCTCGTGCGACAGACGGCAGGATCACATGGATCACTGAATTCTCAGAATCTGCAGAAAAAAAATTGTTGACAGCCCTTGTTGTTCAATGTTGTTGAAACAAACTGACAATATTTTTGACAGCCCTTGGCCCGAAGCAGACCTCGGTGGTTGCGGTTGTGACTATTGTTGCCTTGTGCTCATTGGACGCTTTGCTGCTTGCGTGACAAAGGCCTTGTTTTCGGTGGCCTCAGGTGCCTCTACAGGTGCCATGTGAAGTCAGGTACACTATCCTGGTGAGTTTCGTGATTTTGAACCTCTTCATTGCCGTGATTTTTGAGGGGTTCGAGGAGAGTCGGAGACCAAGAAATGGACAGCGAATCAATTGACAGCACTCAAAGTGCTCTAACCTATCGTCCTTATCTTTTTCATTTGTTTCTATTAGCGATGGCCTCCAAGTTTTGTGCTTCGTTGAGGCCGGGGCAGTGAACCGATGGAAGCCGGAAACTTTGGTCTGCGCAAACGGAGCCGAACATCTCGAACGGTCAAGACAAGTGCCAAATCTGTGCGTCTTTGGAGAAGACAAGTAGCATAAGTCACACGAGTCACCAAAAGAAAGGAAGAAAGGACAGAAAGAAAGGAAGGTCTAAAGAAAAATCAAAAAGAAGAAAACGAGAACCTAAGAGCAAGGACGCTAAAAATCATAAGTCGCGTAGGTCGAATGTCAGCAAATCGCCAAAGCGCTGATTTCAACCCGCGAACACAAACAGAACCCAGACAGTAACAAGGTGCCACGCTAGTAGTAACAAGTGCATCGCTAGTAGTAACAAGTGCCTTACTAGTAGTAACAAGAAGCTAGTAATATTTTAATTATAGGAGCCTTTTCTACCGAATTCTCTGTCCTTTGCATCTGGTACCTAGGAGCAAGGACGCTACTAGGGGCTCCTGGCATCGCTACTAGGAGCAAGGACGCTTCTAGGGGCTCCTGGCCGCACTACTAGGAACAAGTAGCTACTAGGAACAATACTGAATAAGTTGAACGCATCATCTTCTCATTTTCAAATGAAACGACACGGATTTTGGTCAGAAGGCGCTCCGCATGGCCGTGCGTGGCAGGGCATCTACAGACCCCACTCATCAGCGAACGCTCATGTCGAATGATGAACATAGAAAGTATCATGTCATATATGTATATATGTATTTAAACAGTTCTATATTATTATATGTTTGTCTTATCTAAAAGCTTGGAGGGGTTAGGCTGGTAAGAGGAGCATAACGAGCAAGCCAACACGTAAGGAGTAGCTGCTGTTACTAAGCTTAATAAGTATAGCTACTACCTAGGACGCAGAAGCCTGAGCCTAATGATTCGCTTCCTGGATTCTTGGGGAAACTTAACTTAAGGCACTTGTCACTACTAGTAAGGCACTTGTTACTAGAAGTGATGCACTTGTTACTAAGGCTTCTCTTTTTAAGTCTATGAATTGGATCTGCATCATTGTGAACCCAACTGAGAACTAGACAAAGAGAAATACTGGACAGTGGTCCATCATACGGGCAAATCCAGTGTGACGAAACAGCATAGGTTTTTCTTTTTCAAAATTGTGAAGAAGAATATGTGTTTTTTTTTTGAGTTTCGATTCAAACAAGAGATTCACGGAAGTTCACACCAAAGGAGTCTAAAGACTGTCCATTCAAGCTAATAGCGATGGCCTTTGAAGAATAATTCTATCGGAGCGCGGAACTTCAGTGCATGGTGGAAGGCCTCCACCCTAGTTGCGTCCTTGTTCCTAGTGGTAAGGCCAGGAGCCCCGTTCGTAGCGTTCTGTCCCTCCGGGCTGGAGTAGTGTCGGATTGGAGTCTCAACCACCATGCTTCGCAGAAGTCCAAGAAGAACGAGGTCTGCTCAAGGTATTCTAGTTACATACCAAATTATGCAGCAGCATATACTGAGTTGGGTTGGCATGTTCTCTGAATTTCCTTGCACTTATTTCCTGCTCATAGTCCAAAGTTAAAGATGTCCACAAATGTAAAGCTAGAGCGCCTGTGTGGAAACGCCCTTTGACTTGGGGAGCCAACCACCAATGGTTTATGAAACTACATTGTCAGGCAGGTTGTTCTGACAAATGTCTGAAAAAACGTGCAAAATTTGAGATTTTGAGATTGGTGGTGTGAACGGTACGTGCGCCTGTCCGCCCCAATGTCCAAGCGATTTGTTGATTTCCCAAGGTGATCACCAAGTGCTTGGAGAATTGGGAACGGCCAAGTGCTCAGATAAGGAATCTGAACCTTAAAAAGCCTTCGAAAGCTGTGCTGTCGGACTGGAGGCTACAGGAAATCTGAGGCCACTAGTAGATCTAGTAGCTACTAGTTAAGTTTCCCTGAAAATAGGAATCAAATCATTAGCGCGAGCTCTCCTGCGTCCTAAGTAGTAGCTACTTGTAGGTACTAGCGGCCTACCCCCCCCAAAAAAAAGGTATACAAAAGCTACATATATATATATAAAGACAAAAAAGTTATCTTCGCAGCAGAGAATCCATATTGCTCAGGTATGATCCATTCAACACCATGTACATTCCGCTGAGCAAAGCGCTGGACTTCATCGATGCAAGGGGCTCACCACCTTTTCTTGAAAAGCTTTTGGTTTAGAGAAAACAGAGATCAGTGTAACAGTGTTGCCACAGGAAATCAAGAGCCAACGGCCAATCCACAGGAAACAAGCAGCACTTCCACAGAGTCGAGTCGAGACCCCAACAGAGAGCGAGCAAATGCAAAGGCCGCTCTAACCTCCCAACAAGCAAAAAACTCTACCGAACGAAGCGGATAGGTTTGTTCCTAATAGCTTCTTGTTACTACTAGTAAGGCACCTGGTCTTGCTTGAAAGCTGCCCCGAGACGAGATGGCCCGAGACTTGAGACAGTGAAGAAGAAGAAGAAGAAGAAGATAGTATTCAGTTGTATTGATGAGGAGGGAGGGAGGGAGGGAGGGAGGGAGGGAGGGGATGTGCCACTTTGCTGACTTGAGAAGTTTTATTTGAGCTCGACTGGGAGTGAGCACAATAGCGGAGTCTCCACGAGCCCCTAACCTGGCAGGGCGGCGCCTGACGCAGAGCCGGCGTTTCGAGCGCAAGCAAACACGGAGCACGGCACGGTTATTCGTGCTTGAGGGCCTTTGAGCAAAGCATCCAGAGGTCGATCAAGTTCACAAACCCGGACAGACCTTTCTAAAGAGGGGAAGGACAAGAAAGGCCACATCTTCAAAGTAGTCCTGAGATGTTTTTGACCAGAGAGCTGAACTGCATGCTGCCGTGGTTTGAAGCACAACCTGAAAATGTGCCTGCTACATTGGATAATGAAGTGTCCAGAGCGTAATGTATGAGGTTGAAACAAACGTTGCAAGAGGCTGCAGTTGCTCAAGTTGTGTTGTATCACCGTTTCCTTGCGAGCTCAGGAAACTGTGGAAGAGCTGATGCACATTCCTCAGAAAAAGGCTTGGAAGCAAGGCCACAGTTTGGGCTTTGCGCGCACTGCAGTTAGGCGAGTCACAAACTTTCAGTTTTCAGGAGCGCAAAGCAACCGCAGAAGGGGCAATGCATTCCGGACCGCAAAAGAAGTCACAAAAAACATGCAGCAGAAGATCAATGTAGATTTCAATGGCCTCCAACCTACTAGCAATGGCCCAATGTAGATTTCATGCCCTGCTTACAGCTTCAATAGAGGAACCTCGCTGGGATTCGAGAAGCACCATCGCAGCTGGCCAAGAATTGTTGGCGGGAGGGAAATGAGGGAAATTGCAAAGCCATAGCGTTCTTGTGAAAAAGAATTTACATGAAGCCTTCTTACTTTAGACCTTACTTTCTTCCTTTTCTTTTTTCTTTGTTTCAAATAGCGAAGGCCTCCAACCTAGTAGCAATGGCCATCAAGGACATGAATGCATCAGATGCCATGTGGTCAATGTGGCTCGGCTATGTGAACTTGGAAATTGCTTCTTCAAAAGACGTGTATTAGAAACAAGAAGCTATTAGAAACAAGTGCATCGCTACTAGTAACAAGTGC